ATTTTGAATTTGAATTTTGAATTTGAATACATGATCGCCAGCCAATAATTTTGTTGATGCACAAAAATGTTAGCTTATGCCAATGTGTTGCTCATAAGTTAGGCACAGAAATGGGTTAGTCATCTGCTACACAATTGCCCAGCTGGTTTCAGATGGATGGCAACTTATGCGTAACTTATGAGTAACTTGTGTGAACCTATGCATAACTTACCTTTTGCTAGCCTGTAACATATTCCTAACGTATGAGCAACATATTGACATATGCTGAAAATTTGGTGCATACAAAGTGTTTCGCTGACATCGGTGTACGGCAACTTATTCCATCAACTATCAGCATGCTGGTAGCTTATTTAGAACTTACATCTAATTGTGACTTACACCAGCATGTTTGACATTTTAGTTTTCCTACGCTGATGCTGAAAGTTATAGCTTCCTTCATTGCCGTTTGCTCCAACACGCTGTGGACAAGTGCAGCACAAGTTACACTAATGTTGTTCATAAGCTCTGCTTAAATAAAAAAAAAATGCTGACATAAATTTGTATAAGTTATGTTTAAGCACTGACAAGTTATGGATAAGTTACTCATAGGTTATGTATTTGTTCAACTTATTAGCAATACACTACGTATACATTCAAAAGAGACTTCAAGTTGATTTTTTTTGAGTGTAAGTCAGCGCATTGGAAAAAAAATGGATATACAAAGACCTAAGTTCGCTAAGATGTTAGTGTGACAAGGCCTTAAGCAAGGCAGTGAATTTCAAGTCAGTGTTTCTCCTTTTTAAAAAACCAGGCATTGCTACATGCACTCTATTCCCAGATTATTAGGTTGACCAACCTAACTGTAAATCCCTCACTAATCTAGATTAGCATGTACAAAGTTGAAGATACGCTTCTCAGTCTCATAATCTGGTGTTACACAAAGCCATAAAACTTAATTAGCAGCTGATGGTTTCAATAGTTTTGATACATGGACTCTTCTGAGAAACATGCACTCTTCTGAAAAACTTATTACGTCATCTATATTTTTATATGGTTAACTGCACATTGGAGAATGGTGAAACGCTATTTCAACTTCTGTGCTAACCCTGTTACATAGATTTTGACAGTAAACTACACTTTAACTTGAACTTGTATCTGAGGAAATTTATTAAGAACAATGAATATTAACAATAGCCAGAGTTAGATTAATCTTAATCACCTTTACTCAGCTAACACTTGCAGTCTAGTCGCTTCATTTCAAATCGTTCAACTCAGGCCATTTCGATACTTATCAGTACAGTTGAGTAGTCAAATCATTCACACGTAGCTGTCCCTCCCCTTGTGTCCTCCTCTGTGATTGCTTCATCTGGGTTTTTTTTTAAATAATGGTTTAGCTTCCCTTTCTTCCCCCTTGGCACTATTCCTCTCATGGGAATGTGGGGACGGTTTTATGGGTCTTCCATGAGTTTTCCTGCAGAGTGTGTGTATTTCTCACTCTTCACTTTCTTTCTCCCTTCCCCCACACTTCCTTGTGTTATTACAACTCTTACCTTGACGTTGAGGAGACACACCCGATCATTCCTTGTCAACCAATCACTGTGATACACTTCGGAGATGTACTTCCTGTGTTTTGTGAAAGAAGAATGGGAGAGGAGACAGGACAGATTTGTGCACTTGTTATAGCCAGAGGGGGGTCCTCTCAGACGGCCATGCGAACAGGGGACAGCAGAAATGACACATTGACAAGCATCTCTTTTTTGTTGGATTTATGAGCGATCTCCTCTTTGGAACACCAGCAAATGTGAGGACGAGACTTGAGGCAAAGAGGAGGGGATTAGATAAGTGTCAATCTGTTGAAACTTGTTTGGGAATTTGAGCAAGGCGGGTGGCTGGGGAGAGACAGCGAGAGGCAGCAGGAGCAAATAAAAAAGCACAAGGAACACTCAGGCATAAACATGAACTTTTCAAAATAGTTGATCAACTGAGAAAAAAGAAAAGGACTGTTAAGGTTTGTTTCTAAAAACAAGGAAATCTGCTCTGCCAGTCAGACAGCGTCAGGAGAATGAATAGTCAAATGTTGTGCAATCCAATGCCTTTTGAGCTGAGCTGAAACAGGGGGAGACCAGATCTCCTCGGCATACACCTTTAGGTGAGTTAACATACTATTATCCTTTAATTCTGAAAGTTGTGTCTGATTCGAAGACATAGACATAGACATAAACGTTTTTCAGTTCTGGTTTGCATGCTACATGCCTTGCCTATGTGTCACAGGCCTTTCTGCCTTCAGTGAGACTTCGTTTGCATTTTTACAGGTTTGTGCTGCATTCTAATACTAACAGGGTGTCGCCTTTTCTCCTGACTGCTTCTCCTCTCAAGACATGTTTTCCTGAAAGTAAAACAACAGGAATTTAAAAAGAAAACATAAACTGAAATAAACAATTAGACTGATGTTTAAAGAGTAATGTTGCTAACTGTCAAATAGTGTTTTGCTTGGCTGATATTACACTACAAATGATTTATATATGTTTTTTAGTTACTGTGTTTAACTTGGCTTGCACTTGAAAGCTTTATGAATTTAGATATTTTTAACTGATTTGTGTCATAACCCTCTTCTAGGTTCTTCAAATTATGATACCATGGGGACAAAAAAGGCCATCTCTACCATCTTTGACACATTATCTAACCTAAGTATACATGACCACAAGTTCCATCCAGGTGGACGAAACTCTCGAGACCCAAGTCCTGTGCCAAAAAATGCTGCTTCGCTGGAACAAGAAAGAGTCAACAAACAAAATAAAAACAGGAAGGAGGAGGCAGACCAGCGACAACACTTTGAAAGTGACATAGCTCCTGATTGCTGGGTCAGAGAAGGAGAAAGAGAACGAATTGTCAAAGAAAGGAGGCAAGAAGATGGCAGGAGCAGAAATGGTAGGCTGCTGTCAAGCGTGGAGCCCAAGACTGGGCGAGACGTGAAAAAAGGGGGAAAGAGAGGCGATACATTTCCAAGAATGAAAAATCTAGACACAGGTCCTGAAAGTAAACTGATGCCCCACGTTGAAATGGAAGAGGATAGGAAGCAGGGAGATCATCTCCAAAGAGAAGAAATGGATACCTGGGAAAAAAAGAGACACATGTACAGTGAAAAAAAAGATGGCCAAAGCCCGAGACAAAGACAAGACGAGGCCAGGATGTACTCACTTCATAGACTAGAAAGAGAGATTCAAGCAGAAAGAAAGGAGAGGGCTCAGAGAAAAGAGGGGAGGAAAGATGCCAGGAATGAAGGAGACATTGACGAAAGTGAGCTGAGAAGAATGAAGGACAGAGAAAGGGAAGAGTTGATGAATCAATTCAGCAGATATGATGGGATCAACAGGATCAAAATGCACATGAAGAGAGATAAGGATGGACAGAGATATGGAGACAGGGGTAGAGAAATCAAAACAGATAGATCCAGGAGGAGAGAAGAGGACAAGTGGATAGGATATGACAAGGTTATCACTAGAGCAGAAAGACACGTGGACAGAGATGAAATACTGAGACCTGAAAGAAAAGTCACTGATGATAAGAGAGAGGATGATCAATACCGAAACGAAAGAAGATACAGGGAGACAAATGATTGTCAAACAGACAAAAGCAGCAGATCCATGAACAGTTCTGCTCAGAGGCTGCCGCCACAAGTCCAAGGCAGCAGAGAACAGGGCAGCAAGGGGGATATTGAGAAATATAGACAAGACAGAGACGGTCATAGGAAGAGAGAAAGAAGGATAAAAAGTACTTTTGAAGGTGAAAGAACAAAAGACAGGCACAGCGAACCAGAAGGAGCAGCTTACAGAAGTCAAAAGCAACAAAAAAGAAGTGAGGAACAAGGAGGAGGTAGAAAAGAAACCACAAGTAGCTTGCCAATGAAAAAAAGGATGTGGTTAGAACCACAGGGGGGCAAGAATATTGAAGATGAGAACAGAACGAGTTATCAAAGGCAGAAAGAGGAGAGGAGAAAAGAGAAGAATGAGGAGTCACGGGCTGAAAAGGGAAGACCTAAGTGGCGAGGAAAAACAGAACCAGGTGAGACGAACTTGGAGCAAAGCTGTTCTAAAGGAAGGCATGAAGGGAGAGAAGAGTACAGCGGTGACTCTGAGGGAGCAAGTGTAGATGATGAGTTGACTGAAATCTGGTCAAAAAGAGAAGTAAAGGAACATCTGCCTCACAGTGGTGGGCGGATAGAGGAAAGACGACAAGGGGATGTACAGAGAGAGATAATGACAGACAACAATGGGGGGAGTGACACAGATGAAGACGGTGGGCGTAAACACTGGGCACATTCGGGAAATAAAAGAGTAAGTGACGCCAGTTGGAAGCAAGACAGAAAGCTGTCAGGAGAGAACACATTTGTGACATTGTCCAGCGGTGGAGACGACGAAGAAGAACAAGAAGATTATCAGGGGGCAAATGACTGTAAGCAATTCCGTGATGCTGATGTTTCAGATGAAGATCCCACACCTGATAGTTCGAAGAGTTCTGAAGGTGAAGAGAGGGACAAATTTACAAGGAATGAGGAAGTGGTTAATGGTGCACAAGGGAGGCAAAAGAATCTAAAGTATGCCTTTTGTGTGACTGAGCAAAGTCCTTCCCAGTCAGAAACCACTGAGCTGTCACTGTCAGAAGATGACGAAGTTGGAAGAATAGAAATAGAAGAACCAAATTTAGAAAAGCATACTCAAAGTAGTGATGAGGCCACACAAGAACCTCAGGATGATCAGCATCTGACCTACAGCAGAAAGGATAAACAATCAGTTTCAAGCAACCAGGATAAAGAAAGTGACTACAATTTACCAAAAGAGGAAGGACTTTTCTCAGGAGACACAACTGAAGGCGACATTCGATGCAATGCATCCAAAGAACATCAAGACCTGGAACTAGGAGAGGAAATGAGGAGCAAAGAGGAACGTCAACACATAGGATTTGGGGGAGTGAAGAGAGACTCAAAGACTGAGATACTCCTTGAACACTGGAGAGAAAATAATAAAGAAGGACTTCAAAGTAATGCTGATGTTCGTACCTCGGACAGTTTTGATCGAATCCCACACTTCTTGGATGACATGAACATTGAATCGATGAGCCAAGAAGAGATGGAGAAAGTTAGGGCCAGTATGAGTGGAGCGTGGAGCATGTCCAAGGTGCCTAAGCGTCATTCCCAAGCCCCGCACCTGAAATGGGCCACGAGTGTGGTGCGTGAGATCCTGGGACACTCAGACGAACAGACGATAGACAAACCAAACACAGAGCTACAACAAAGTCAAGAGGTCAAACCAGTCGAGTACAAGAAGCAGGAAATGATTCCAGGACGGAGCATAGATTTGCCCATTTTTACAGTGACAAAACATGATCGGCACTCAGACCCAGAGCTGGAGGAGGAAGACCTGGAGGTGGAGTTTAAAGGTATGGGACTAAACCAAACCAACATGAATACTAATCAGTTCGCAGCTGTGCATGTTGTAACACCTTCATACACTAATACTGACACACGTTTCAACACAGGGGAGAAGGAAGAACAGACTATGGATCAAAAAACTGAACTGTCTGTTCAGGCTCAGTTAGAAAAGGCTGAAATTAATGATTTAAGAAAGACAGACAAAGAAACAAGCAAGGAGAATGAGGTGGAGGCTTTTTTAACAATGACCAATGCACTGTACAAGCCTGGAAGCTGCCCCAATCTTAACTATGACTCAGAATCTGACCTTGTCCCTACGGAGGGTAGAGGTCAGGAGGTGGAAGACGAAATGAGTGATGACAGGTGGACCGAAGAGGATCATAGTGAAAAGGAGGAAACTGAGGTGGAAGGCAGAATGGATAATATAGGAGCTGTAAAGAATGGGGCAACTATAACAAAGTCTTCCAGTTTTCTGAATGTGGGTTCTGAAGTTCGGATACGAAGACGAGGAATCCGCATAACCAATAAGAGAAAAGATGAAGGAGGTGTTGCAAGGGATCGCAGAGCCAGAGTGTTTTCTCCAGCAGGTAAAGACAGAAAACTGAGTGTGGGGGACACTGGAATCTGATCAAATCAACTAATTGTTTCAAAAATCTGCAGAACTGCCTGCTGGTTTTTTTTTTTACCTCTGTCCCTTTTATTTAATTGTTTGTAAGCATTGCAGTTAACTTTCAAACAAGACTGCTTGCTTCAGACAATCAAATCCAACAAAATCAACATCTAGCAAATAACACTTTTAAAATCACGTTCTTCTTTTTGTTTCTTCTAACTTTCCAACTCAGTAATGTTTATTTCCAGTAGCATCTACAGCACTCACAGAACCAAACAAATTACTAAGTTATCTAAATCTGTCTGTTATCTTTGCACCAACCAAGACAGATTGCGTCACCTGCACTGGAGACTATGTCACAGTGTTGTGATAGCATTTTGTAGGTGGAAATGATCAGAGGTGGAGCAAGAAAGGGGAAAATCCAAGGTGTGAATGTAAAAGGCAGATGTCAATCCTCTATTCAGACACACGTAGTTGAAGCACAAGTTCTGGAAACATCTTTATCTTTTCTGTAACTTTTACAATTGTGGGGCTTCTAATTTATTGAACAAATTTATTACCTATTTAACTTATTTGTTTTATGTTGTAGCTTTTATTAATTTTTTACACATTCAAAATGCTGTTTCATTGTGTCGCTACAAATATTTACTTTTTAATTCCAGATGATGATCACAGTAAAAGCTGGGGAGAGTTGAACCTCAGGTGAGTAAATCAAAACTTGTACTTAAATTGAACTCAGTTTTAAATATCTCTTATAATAAAACCTGTCAGAAATTTACATTATTATAATCCTTAAATCTATTAAAATAGTTTTTGCAGCAATATTCAACACAAAAAGTTGAAGCAGATGTTTTCATGAACTGTTTTGCACTCTTTTGATACTGCAGGAATGCTTTCCACAAAATGGCAAGAGTCGAGGGAAATTCAAGTTTTCTCAGTAAGTTTCTCAGTTTCACATTTCTCTTATCGTTTATGGACCTTTTTTGTGTTTTGTTTATGAACCTTAAAATAACTATCTGATGTGTAGTTAAAAATACGAAGCACCTTATCTGCGTTGTGCCTTTGTTGGAGAGCGTGATCATTTTTAGAAGTTCTATGGTGATGTTTTAGAGTAATCCTGAAGAATCAAGATCAGCCCAGTCAAGTCGACATGACTACATTAGATCTGAGTACAGCCAGGAAAAGCATGACAGGGCTGAGCGTTTCCCCTCAAAGTGTGTGAGTCATTTTCTGTGTAAATATGAGCTCGGTGGCTGTTTATCTTTTAATCACTTAATGTTAGGTTCATAGCTTCAGTGGCGTACACATAAGAGAGCAAATCTGTGTTTGTTTACTTCTGGCTCACACCAGTTAAAAATAATGTTTTAAACAATCTGAAATTGTAGCCTTTTTCTTTACTGCCATTTCATTTTGCTGTTAAAATGAAAAAAGGAGCGTTGATCTGTGTGTGTGTGTTTGAGCAAGTCACAAACAGGTTTCGGCAAGCAGTCATTTTTATAGACTTGTCGGGAAAACAGCTGCGGCTGTGATTTTGCATTCCAATCAGTGTGCGTGAAAGTACTGTTTAAAATGCTAAAATCTACTTGTAAAAAACACTTTTCTGTCTCTATTTTGCTTCCTGTACATTTAAACTCATTTTTCTTTATTTCTCTCTCTCTCTCTCTCTCTCGCCGCTCAGATGCAGCACAGCTCTACCAGCAGTACAGCGAGGTGGCACAAAACATCGAGATTCTGCGTCAGTTTCACTCCGATGTCCTGTCAGTGTGTGAAGACCCCAACCATTCCCCAACGCCCTCGCCTCCTCCTGCCCGCAGACCTCTTCCTCCCCTACCAGCGATCACGCAGTCATTCTCCTTGTCTCACACCGGCTCCGTCACTAGTGTCAAAAGCTTGCCTCTTCCAGACCTCCCCAGGACCGAGCGCAGGTCCTCCTCTCCACGTCTGTCCACCTCACTCGCACAGCATTCCTTACTGTGGCGAGACTTGCCAGAAGTTAGGAACGACCCCGAGCTGGAGATGCTCACAGAGGATCAATGGCGACTACAGGAGGTAAATGTCTTACAGCACATATACGGTATTTGATGGCTTAGACTTCTCATGCAGTACACTTATACTGTTTGAATTCTTTTTTTTTTACTGAGGCAGGAGTCTAAACTTGTTTCAGTGCAAGCTACGCCTTTAGATTTTGCACTTTGTTGGCAACTATGTTCACACTGATTATCTTTGTTTTTCTAAAACCATTTACTTCCTTGTTTTGCTATGAAGAAATCTAACACTGATTTAGTTAGGTTAGGAGTCAGGTTGGGAATCAGTGATTTGTACTTTTATCTTTGGAAAGTTACTGGAATACCAAACCTGGTAAAGTTACATTCAAAATACCCCTAAGGGCATTTTAAATTAACAATGATAATGCATTGCTCAAGCAGCTTCATTTTGAACTGCTTTGTTTTCTCTTGGAGAAAGTGCAGTTTTTGCTTTTTATTTTAGGGATTATTGTTCTTGTTTCTGCTCACTGCTATCATCTTGTGAAAATAGAAATTCTTATAAACGATACAGCCTTGTCTCATGATGGAATTATGATACTAAACGTCTGCTTTTTCATGGAAGCATCTCTAACCAATTGTTCAACTAAAAATCAGTCTGCATTTTTCTGTAACCTTACAAGAAACATGAGTCAGAGTGGGAGATTTAGTATTTGTTGGGAAATCACAGCTGACACCTTCCTGCTCGTTAGATACCTGTTTAGTAATTGTCATATTTTTCCACTTTAATCCTTTTTTAAAATTTTGTTTGCAAGGTGAGATTTGAGGTCGTGACCTCGGAGGCATCCTATTGCCGAAGTTTGGACATAGTCGTGGATCATTTTGTCAAGTCCAGACAGCTGGAGACGCTGCTGACCACTCAGGATAAGAACTGGCTGTTCTCCCGTCTGTACGACGTTCGTGTCATCAGCCGCAGGTCAGAAAACTTCAACTGTTGTTTCAGACAAGGTTTTCATCAGTTTGAAAACTTAAATTTTGTATAATACCCCCCTTTGAACTTATTCTAATATTTTTTTCCTTTAGATTTTTATCCAGGTTGGAAGAACGTCTGGAGTCGGACATCATGCACTTCACTGTGTGCGACATCATTGTTAAGCAATGTCAGCTCTTCAGGAAAGTTTATGTGCCCTACCTCACCAACCAGTCGTATCAGGACGCCACCTACCAAAAACTCATGTAAGCGGTTTGTCCGTCTTTGAGTTTCCTCCCACGGACGGAGACTTACGTTCAGTTTTTAGATCCAGAAGAAACTCCAGCTCAACTGTATGTTTGGTTTTAGGAACGGGAATCCAGGGTTCAAGCGAGTTGTGGAATTATTAGAGAAGAGTCCTGTTTGTCAGAGGCTTCCTCTTCGATCCTTCCTCGTGCTTCCTTTCCAAAGAATCACCAGATTGAGGCTGCTGGTCCAGGTGCGTATGAAAGCCCTCTGAAACACTCGACGGGCCTTTCAGTTGTGTGGAATTTTGCCTGACATTTAGACCACTGTCTCTGCAGAATATTGTGAAAAGAACAACTCCTGGTACGGTGGAGGCAACAAATGCTATCAAAGCTTTAAAACTTCTAGACAAGGTGCGGTTAACGTCCTCGTTTTACACTTTATCGTTATAGTAAAGCATCATTTGGCATTGACAAACTCCTTTTTTCCTTCACTCTTTAGATAATTCAAGAGAGTAACGACAGCATCTCCCAGATGAAAAACATAGAGTCTTTGGTCACTCTCAATTCTAAGGTGGACTTTGAGTGCAGAGTGAGTAATCGAGATTAAATGCTGACATTTTGGTTGTGTTGGCTGATAGACTGATTGATATTTACATACTTCTTCTCTATCGTGAAATGTTGGCATAGTTTTAAATTATGAAATTTATTTGAGTAAACAAAATTTCCTCAAGGACCACCTGAGCTTTCAACATCATGATCATCTCTGCCAGACAGTTATCATCTACCCCTATGACGGGGGAAGATAGTGTTCTGGTGTATGTATTTGTGTGTGTGTGTGTGTGTGTGTGTGTGTGTGTGTGTGTGTGTGTGTGTG